AACAGTGGATCTACGTAAAAACAGTAGGTCTGGCAACGCTGATCGTTCCCTCGAATGGTTATCCTGTAAGTGTCTCGCGACCCGTCTCCAAGCTTCCGAAATGTACGGAGCGTAACATTTATGCATCTGTCGTCTTACTCGACCTTGGGATCGCCTCGGTGGTCTCTTGTCCCCTTACGCGGCTACCGAAATGTAAGAACATTCTTACTATCGTCTTTTTCTAACCACTTGTATTTATACTAGGTTTGTTCGTAGAGACAGTTTCAAACAATTGATGATTATTTTATGATGCGCATACGCGGTTTCCAATGGTTTGGGATTTATTGTCATTTTTGTGTTCTGCGAACGCATTTTGTACGATTGTGGATTCTTCTTTACCTAGTCTCCTGAGTTAGATATAGATTTAGTAAACGGACAAAAAAAAGAATTTTGTTTATGAATTGCACCCCATTTTATCAATATATTTTACTTTTATTATCTGATTTGAACATAAGACTGATATTTTATCAGGATAATGTATGGTAGGTCTTTATGGTCTTATGTTATTGCATAATTTAAATTTTATGTATGTTTAATAATTACTCATAAAAACAATTAATCAAATCAACATAAGCATGAACGAATGATAAACACATAAACAGACATAAATTTTAGAAAATAATTCATGTGCGCATGCCCTGGCTTTAAAATCCGGAGAATAGTCAGGGATTTTTCCAACCGTTTCCTCAGTTGGCAATCACTTCATTTGTTTCTACGAACGCCAAACTAGTAATTGGAAATTATAAGAGATTCTTCTACGAACGCATAATAATCAATGCACATGCGCTGTTTAGTTGGAAACGGTTGTGGATCGCTCTACGAACAAATGAGGTATGTCGGAGGTAAACAACAGATAAAGAACTTGCCCCAGAACACTTCCTTGAGGCACCCCTACTTTAGTTTCTTTAAGCTTGGAACATTCTTCTTCTTGCTTTACTCGAAAGATTCTATTAGTCAAGTAGGATTTTAAGATGTCACAATATTGCTTAAGTAAAAGTTTATGTATTTTATATTTAAGGCCATCTACCATATCGAAAGCCTAAGGTACATCTAGAAAGAGTAAGGTGCAGATCTTCTCTTCTTCCAGTGTTTTCTCTATCTCATTCGTTATTCTGTGGACTTGATCAATAGTGGAATGCTTGTTCCTAATTACAAATTGGTGGTCAGGTATTATATTTTTACTGTATATCATGGGTTTCAATCTTTTTAGTAACAGGGATATACGACTTTACTTTATTTGGTGGTTTTCCAGGTCATATTATTATATTAGTGAAAACAGCTTTTTTTGGCAATTGTTTTAGTATTTCAACTGTGATCCGATCATACCCGGGTGCTTTCTTATATGGAATTGATAATATTTTCTTTGATTTCCTTTAGCTACTTCTTTATTCGTTATCATAGGAATTTCTAGTATGTTTATGATCCCTTTTTTTAATAAATCGAGTCCTCGTTCTTCATTCGGTTGAACATTTTTTTCGAGATGATCTGCAAAGATGCAGCTTTTCGTTAATTTGATTCTATTATTGGTATTTTTATTTTATATTATTTAATGTCACTTTATTTTGAAAAATAACGTCAACAACGTTTACTGATATTAAAACTTATCGTCGCAATATATTTTTGGGTTTCTACTTTCTTTTAATGTTCAAATACTTTTCTGTCTTTGATTAGTTTGACTAGATTTTCTTTTCTAGATCAAGAAGGGTGTTTCGCCACCTAGCTATAGCTTTGCATTCGAAGATAAGTTAGTAAGAGTTTTCTTTGTTTTCCATGCAGAGTCTAAACGTGATGGAATCATTATGTAATTTCATCACATAAAGGTGTTTCGGTAAGCAGTGTCCCGTTAGGAATCCCACAATGCTAGGTATATGAGGCCTTGCGTACTGCACTACCTCAGTAGCCATGAGTGGGTTTGGTCTCCTTAGCAAGAGCTTACTGATTCTATGGTTTTGCTTATCCCAAATACAGGATACCTTTATGTCGTTTTACCTTACGAGTAGATATTTATTTCAATGTAGCTCCAGACTAGTTGAAACAGTTCAGTTAATGTTGCACAGTTGATTCTGTTCAGTTCATTATGTTTAGTTGATTCTGTTCAGCTGATTCTGTTCTGTTGATTCTGTTCTGTTGATTCTGTTCTGTTGATTCTGTTCTGTTGATTCTGTTCAGTTGATTCGGTTCAGTTGATTCTGTTTAGGTGATACTGTTTAGGTGATTCTGTTTAGGTGATTCTGTTTAGGTGATTCTGTTTAGGTGATTCTGTTTAGGTGATTCTGTTCAGTTGATTCTGTTCAGTTGATTCTGTTCAGTTGATTCTCTTTAAATCAAAGGATACCTAGATATAAGGCTGCTTGGCTGTCTGCAAAAATTAAGATGGTTTGTTTTTCTGTACTTGCTTTATAAATTCTCTCTTACACGAAATTCGATTGCATGTATTTCAGCCTGAAATACAGTGGTATGTTTTCTCAAATGAAATGGTGATACTGCATTTGGGTCTAAGTATTTATTTTTTGTAAAAAAACCGTCACCTTAACTTATATAGGCGTCAATTTATGACTTCATATCGGAAATGTTTTTTATAATTGGAAAAACATTGATTTATTTTCTAAAAATTACTAAGGGCTTAGACAATTTAAAAATGAATATGTTAAACCAGGGACAGAAGTTGGAAAGGCTTTTCGCAGTTCTCTCATTTCATACACAGGATTTGACAGTTTCGCTGCGGAGCCAACCAACGTGAACGCCAAACAAAAATTATTTTATAGTTGTCAATAACAATTTCTTGTAAATAATTTAATAAATTGTGAATAACTGTTCAAATTTTGTAGAATTATGATTTGGGACATTATTACTTGCTTAAATAATTATTTCTAGCCCACAAATAGATTCGATTGCTCGATTCCGCTGGTAATCACTTAAAATGTTTGGTATTATTTTTCGAATCTGGCGAATAATAAACATTACCGTGAAATTCTCGAAGTCGTTCGACAGGGTTTGACGTTTACCGCCTCTCTACCTACCAAAAGCCTTTCCAAATTCTGGCCCTGCTATACACCAACAATGGCATAAAAGTAACCTATTTCTTGAGTATATAAAGGTTTTATAGTGGTCTACGGAACCACAGCCCCATAAAATTTTAATGAGTTGCCATTTTTCATAACATTGTTTAACAGTATCCGTGTTTTTATATGTACTATATGTACTTTTTTTATATGTACTCTTTTATATGTATGTACTCTCATATATTGGTAAGTTACATCTGACCGACCTTGAATACCTGATATAATTTATGCCTCACCTTTTTGACATACCCTGTATAACTTCGCCGTAGTATATAATTCTTCTCGAAGTCCTTGAAACATTTTATTTGCTTAATGTAATGGTTAATTGCAGAAAAACTGAATGCGACATTTAAAATGTATTTAATAAGTAAGTAGACAATTTCCAGAAATAATCTTCGACTATTAATCAGGTCTATTTTTAGAAGTAATAAAAAACAGAAATAAGTATTTATCTTCCCGTGTCCATGTCCATATTTGATTTAATGAATGTGTTAAAATTGGATTTTAATCAAATTTACATCAACTTTTAAGTCTTTTATTAGTCCAAAATCTATGAACTCAGGATCTACTGTTTTCCATTTTCTCTTAAAACAGCTACAACTCCTGCTTGGTAGCAAATGAGTGAGATATGCTTCCAAAAAGGAGTTCTTGTTCTTTTAAGGTATTGTAGTGGTACCTATCCTTCTAACTTTCTAAAATCAAATATTATTTAACTTACACTTTCTGTAGGCAGTGGCGCATCCAGAGTTAAGTCTGGGGGGTAGTGGTAATTTTTAGGACTTTCTTTTTGGTAAAAATACAGTTTAGTACCTATAAAAAGTTAGGATTAAAAATTCTTGGGGGTAATTAACCCATTACTTCTTCGTATATGCGCCCCTGTTTGTAGGATCTGTAATAACAACATTATTGAAATATGTATAATGTTAATAAAATACCTAAAAATTCCCACTATCCAATCAAAATTATCGTCATAAATTGAATTTTAAAGTTTAAAATGGGCAAAAATAAATATAAACAATTTGTTTTTATAATTTAATTTTTATTTCGTAATTACATCATTTCAATAGAGTATTCTTAAAACTTTCGATATTATCATAAATGCTTTTATATGATTCTGAAGATTTCATCTAATCCTTTTAAAGATAAACTCTTTCCCAATTACATTTATCGTATATTTTTTTATTTATTTCAATGCAGTTGATAAGATAATAGAATGTTAGCAATACCTTACAAAATTGGATCACGTGCAAAATCATAGTATGTTTACATTTAGTAGATCAGTACAAAATTTAACAACTTAATGCATGCCTAAATATGACGGTGATATTGGAAAGTTTAGGAAAACATTAACAATCTGTAGGTTGAATAATTGTTTTATTATTAATATAATGTAAAATACCTAACCACAAATGAAGACAAAATTATTATAGTAATATAAATATATATCATAAACTTCTACGCATGTTGCCACTTTAGAAGAACTGGCGTTTATTGAAATACTTTTTCAACTCTTCTAATTGTAAATTACATATTCAAAGAATTTCTTTTCTTGGGCCTTTCTAAACTTCGGTCCATATTTTTTGCTTAGCATATTCTTTTCACTGAAATTCCATCAACATGTTATCTATGTTAATATTACCTATATAAATTTCTATTATGCTGTTAAGATCTTCAATATTTAATTAATAGGTACAAAATTTCTGAATCTTTCCAGTCGCTTGCAATCTTTTCCTATTCCAAGAAATGTAATTTTAATTATACTACAAAATATATTTTTAATAACCCAGTCATTATAAGTGCAATTGGTATTTGTAATAAAATACTTAAGATTGTTTATATTGTGTTTGTAAGGAATTTAGTTAAAATGCAACACGCCGTGACATTCTTTCTTTATTACAGAACCAGCAGTTGGAACAGGACCTGCTGCAGGATCGTGTCAACGAAATCATCAAACAAGCGGACCAGAGAAACAGGCAGAACATACAGTCGCAAAGTGACGAAGTCACAGACGAATGGAATTCTCTTGTGTCCGATTTGGAGAATAGGAGGGACACTCTCACAGGTAAAAAAACGCTTTATTATTATTATTATTATTATTATTATTATTATTACTAATAATAGTAGAAGTATTAGATTATAAATAAAATACATAAGAAAAGGAAATAAAAATAAACTAAAATGTTACCAAGACGTAAAATAAATTTAATGTCTGTTGTGACATTAGCCAAAGGAATATAATATTTCATTACCTAGATACAGGGTGTTCGTATGAAGTTTGATTTGGCCAAAATTCAACACCTACTCAGTATGAAAATTTAAAATTGTGATAGATTTTCCTCGATATTCAAAATTATTGTCATAAAACAATAATTAAAATCTAGATCCAACCCAACAAAATTTGGAAATTTTATTCCATCTTAAAATTTTGTATATCAATACCTTAGGACGTATCACAAATTTTACAGGGGATCAAAAAACTTGTTTATTTTATTATCAATACTAAATAGATATTCAAGATACGACATATCGTCGAATTACTGGTAAAAGCTGTTATCTGATAAGATTGTCGAATTTCAGTTATGTGTGTAACAATGATCATGAAATAGATATTTATGTTCAAGTAAATTACGTTTTTTAAATAGGATCCTTAGTTATGAGTATACAGTAATTGAAAATCAATGAATTTGCCAAATCTAAGTATTTTTTTGACAATGACAAATACTTACGTATTATCGTAATATACTTAAATACTTGGATATTAAAAACGTTAAATTCCTTCTGGTTTGTTACCAAGTAAAAAATTGAGTGGACTGCTTTTTATGTTAGGATAAATTGATTCATGCGGCGTTTAATTAATTGTTTTTTGTTATTGTATTTAAATCGTATTATTAAATTAATATTTTATTGACTTGCCAAGTTATAGTTCAGATTCTTTGGAAAATAGGAAAAACTCTCGTGCAACCAACACAATTGTTGATATTTTGTATTCGATGTGGTACCGATTATCGCAAAACTCGTACTGTTCTTCGGCTATTTCCATCAAATATTCGAAGGCACGATTTTGGATAAAATGATAAAAACGGAAAAAGCAAAACCAGAGGCGGGTCATAAGGTTTAGGAATAGGTTCATCAAATATATACTTATAAAGAGTAAAGTAAAAACAATTTTGACGCGAATAACCTATTTGGATACAATTAAAATAAATAATAAAAATAAATAAATATTATATAGGATCCTAACGATCCACATTCATTGTTTAAAAATAATAGTAGTTTATTACATTAGGGTCCGTATTTATAAATAAAACTAGCTGAGTTGGACTTGGGTAAGTCGTCCTTGAACTAAAATCGAAGTTCGGTTACAACGTCTTTAAAGTTCTAGGTGGTTCTGGTGTTAGACTGGAATTTAGAGATGAATATTAGCGAATTTGTAACTGTTATGTATATTTACGGATTTGTTACTACCAATTTCTAAATTCACGAGATATAACCGAACTTCGATTTTCGTTCAAGGACGACTTACCCAAGTCCGACTCAGCTGAGTTTTGTTTATAAATACGGACCTTGAACTTTAAAAAAATTCGGGTTATGTCCACTAAGTAGGCAGCCAAATACTGAAAAATTATTGACAAACTTGACAAATACTGCTCTTACGCCCATATGCACCGTTTTAAAATCTAATCCAGATTTGCAAATCTCGTTTAAATGGCTAGTGAATATTTTCTATGAACCGGCTACGGATTAGATAATCGAGTTTGGTAATCTGACAACACTGGAATTTTATAAATTTCACAAAAAAGAGAAGAAGAAAACATCAGATTTAAGTTGGAAAAATGTTTGTCAGAGGATAAAAGGCCAATGAAAATAGAAGCCCTATTTTTTAAATGTACCAAAACCGTAAACACACCGTAAAACGCATACCGAATTCAACGCAGGGTGAAAAAAAAAATGTCAAATGATTTTATAACAATAATTCTATAGTAGGTAAGATGGCGATTACCATTATGTTAATTATTGGTAATTTTAACATATACACATACAAGCTGCTGTATTTCAAGCTTTTTTATGCAAAACGATATACCTATGTGAATACTTTATTACCTATACTGTGCATGTTCAAAACTAGATATGACATTATCAGTATTTAAAAGTGAACAAAATCAGATAAATATATGTACCTATTGCTTACTTTTTTTATATTTTTCAACGTATCTGGATTTGCCATCTAACTACAGAATTATGCTGCAACGTTAGAATATAAAAAACCTCTTAAAAATGACAAAGTTGACCATCGTATAAAAATATTCACTTCTCTAGTAATTTTGTCGAGAATCTTTATCATCTTCCAAGAAAAGCTGGTATTCTATTTCCGATTTTTATTAAAATTTAAATAAAAGAAACACAAATAGAAAGTTTCAAATATACTGAAAAAACATTGACATCTTTTTGACGTAAGAAAATCTCGATTAGATAGTTTGATCCACCGATGTCGACGGATTAGAATAAAATCGGATTAAGAATGATTTTTATTACGGTGCATCGCTAAAAATGGTACTAAACGCGATTAAACCCTTAATCTGGATTAAACGTGTACGGTGCATACGGGCGTTATAGGGGAAAGTTTGTCTACTTTACGTCTTTCTGTCCTATTTTCAATGCGTTGGTTCAGTGTGATGTCATTTTGGTTCCACTGACATTTAATTCTAACCAAACTTTTAACAAAAACATCAATAAATTTGACATATACGTTTTTACTGTTTTTAGTTTATTTCTAAATATTGTTTACAGGTCATAAAAAATAGTTTAAAGGTATGTAATTAGTAACTAAACGATTGTATATTTGATGCATGTTATTACTTACTTTAGGAATATATTTATAAAAGTGAAAAAAACGATATAATTTAGGTAAACAAAACGAACAAAACGCACTCAAAAAATCTACTGTCACTCTAATTGTCAGTGGAACCATAATTACATCATCACTGAACTAGTGCATAATATCAAACCTTAGACAGGTCAGCAAAACATAAATATTTTGGCAGACATGGTTGCTGAAAATACAGGGTGTCCCAAAATTGCTGGGACATAAAGCTACCACGTGTAGTAGAGGTCAAAATAAGTCGATTGGACCCAATTTATTTATATACCAAAATGTACCGTTTGCCCGCGAGAAGAGTTTAAAGTTTACATAAAAAAATACATTTTTGTAGCTGTTCAAAAATGAGTGAAACAAATTAAATGAAATTTGACAAAAGTGCATTTTAGAGAATTACTCTCCTTTCGGTGATTAAAGAAACCCAAAAGAAATTCTAGAAACCACCCTCACATCATGATATTTTTTTTTAGAACTTTCTTAGGGGTGGCATTACGATTCTCAAGAAGACTTGCTAGTCTAAAAACTTTGTTTTTTTCAAATTGCACACTCAATATATTATTTATTTTTATAATATAGGCCCTATAAGTGTTGGTTTTTGGCAAATATTTATTTTAATTAATATTTTGAGAATAATATATAAAAGAAACATTGGACTATATATAATTTTTTTTTAGCCAATTAGCATAATCTATAATTTGTTACTAAGAACTTTCTATAAAAATATGTTTTTGTAATTACAGGATTAGCTCAAATGTGGGAAGTTTTCGAGGGAAGGTGGCAGAACTTCGAAAGCTTGTTGAGCAGTGTCAGCGAGAAAGCCAAACATCTGGACTATGTGGTTCGAAACAAAGAGCACGTAGTGCAAACCAAGAGAAGCGTGGAGGTAAGTTTGTGCATAGAGCGGCTTCACTTCTAAGTTTTTACTAATCATCCCAATATTCACTCCTTTAAGATCAATATCAACAAATTATCTCTACTTTCGCTGAAGATGTTAGTGGTAACACAGTAATTTTTTTTCTAGGAGTTGCAATCAGATGCACAGGCGATTAAAGTTCACCAAGATGAAGTCAAAAAATTATCGAATACAGTGTTGATGTTCTTGACTGAAAGCTCAAAACCATCTGCCAACGCCCTATCTGAGAAATTGCAACAACTAGACGAATCATATGAAAGGTAAGTCAAGTTTCAGTATAAATAATAGAAAATGCATAAAGAGTACTGTACCAATTAGTTTAGAAGTGAAATAACTATTTTAAAGATATTTAAATAAAATTTTAAAATTATGAACTCTACCAATAAAATAAACATGAAACAAAAATAATGACACTTGGAATTTGAACTCCGAAACGTGGAACGAAAAGGCTTACTCAAACTATAACGTTAATGACGTTAATGACTTTTTAAATTTTTATGGTTTAAAATTTTCAGTTAAATTGGTATTAAATAGTTTTATTAAAATTTACTGTTTCTTTGTACATATAAACGAATAACTAATGAATTGCTATTATTTATCGATTCTTCAGAAGAATCACTCATTTTAATCGACAATTATTTTGACAGCATTGTCACTAATTTACCTAAACTTTTAAAAAAGAACTGATCATGAAATATGAACTGTGATTGGTGGGTTTCAGTGTCCTTATTAGGATGAATATGAAATTATATCCGTTCAGTAAGTTGATATGGATTACTAGAGGGATTACTTATTCGTTCTGAAGTCTGCGCATTTTAATTATTTTGTTTTTAAACTTTACCAACTAAGTTAGAATGGCTTCTTTTTTGATTTCTACGATGTCAATTATACTTAAGAGGTGATTTAGCTCAAATTGCTGATACTGCGTGGATTCATAAATTGACCAGGACAAATGAAATCAGAGTAGCTTTACGATAAAATGAAAGATACTATAATACGATAATGACAAAAAAAAATGTTGAGCGCCACCAAGTTTTTGAGTAACTTGGAAAACTTATCTGATTTGATATGTCCTGTTTAATTGAGTCAGTCTCTGGTACTTAAAGTTATCTGTATGAGTTCTGGCAAATAAAAGAAAGTGAGAAAATTTAATACATTTAATAAAAAAAAGTAATAAGAATGAATTTGTACATAATTTAATAATTAATGATTAAACGTGAAAAAAAAATGACTGCTAGATAAAAAAAATAAATTGAATGAAGTTGAATAGATATTTAATTATTCCGACCATGTGGCATTCTAGTACCTGTCGTATGTCGTGGACAATCCGCCTTTGGAACTTATACTTGGAGCTTGGACTCGCACTTGGAACTCGGAACTTGGAGAAACTACGTAACTCGAACTTGGAGTTTAAAGCTTGGAGTTTCTTGGAGCTTAGAGCTTCTAGGAGCAACTACGTAATTCGGGCTTCTTGGAGCTTAGAGCATCTAGGAGCAACTACGTAACTCGGGACTTCTTGACTTCTTAGAGCTTAGAGCTTCCTGAAGCTTCTTGGAGCCACTGCAGGTTTAGAAATAGAAAGAACCTCAGTAACAGTAAAAGTACATATACATGCCAGTTTGGAAATCTAACGGACTTAAATGGGACAAATATTAAAGTTATATCGTCTGAACAGAATATAAAATATTTATAAGGCCAAAATAAGTTATAACAATAAGTTTTACATCATCTGAACAAAATATGAATTATTTATAAGGCCAAAATAAGTTAAGAGCCATAGATTTCAGTTTAAACTGTATTTCCAGACTGACTTGTAATTCAATTATTCAGTTGCCTTCCCGCGTATATATCAAAGTATCAAATACAGCTTAAAAATATTATTAGTTAGGGTAGCTATAATCTATATAAAATAAAATAAAACAGTAACAATAACCGGCATGATGGTAATAAAAAAAAACAAACAGCCGATCCTTTCGGTTTTCCAACGAAATCCAGCAAAATGTTAAAATATAAGGTGAAAGAAACATTACCTGACAATTATCCCAACGTTAACACACAATAAGCACAGATAAAAGACAAGATAACTACGGAAATACACTCTTCTAGTAGCTAATTTATCGGCACAAACTACTACATTGAACTCGATAAACCAAAAGAAAGTTTGAATCAACACGAGTCCGTTTTATCACGGCGTGGTTGCCCAAAGAAACAGTAGGTTCGTGCGCAAACCGTACTTACTCTCTAAAAGGAAGCGAGCGGTGATCTTTTACCTTGTGTTACGAGGGGTTATGGAGAAGTTGTCAAAAATAAATTTGAAATTAATTTCACGTAACAAGGTACGGGTTCACACACTTGAGCAATTTTCACAAATACTATTTATTATTTAAATATTCACCTAACAAAAAGATAAGCGAGCTTTATAAATACCGACGCTGGTGAGCACGCTACCCCCATTACTGGAAATTTAGCCGAATCCCCTGGTTTTCTAAACAATGGTTGAGATCTTTAACGAGTCCAACGTCCATGGACTCGGGACCGACGAGTTTACTTCTCCTAAAAGATGGCACAACTTATGCTATATACCTCGTACTCATTGATACAATGCCTGCCCGTTGTGGTATGCATCTAAACGAGCAGTTTTTTCGGTCGTATGCCAGGTTTAATTGAAATGGTCTCCCATCCAACTTCTAACTCTACTGGGCCTAGCTTGACTGCAGATATCGATACACAATAAGTGAAACTGCTAAGCCAAGCCTCTGCCCGATAAGCGAGCTTAAATTTGCTAAAGAGGGTGTTCAGTCTTAAGAATGTTAGATATGATAAGTGGCCTGGCAACGTTGTGTAGTTTGTTTTAGCATTTGCAAAATTTTAGCTGCCTATTTATTTAATTTAAGTAATAAAAGATGTGTACGGTATATAAATAGTATTTACTTACGAAACATATTCTACAAGCTTTATGCATGCTTGATTAAGCGCAAGCTATCATATAACGTGGCGTATTTCAAGGGTGGTAAGGGGCGGCGGTTGTCACCTCAGAATTATTGTTCAATTTACTATTTTACCACATAAGAATTTTGAAGGAAAATTATAAAAATATTTTACTGATGGAGCATCAACATTGAAGTTTTTAAGTGATACCAGATGTGCTTGTCATGTTGAAGTAGTGTGTTAGATAATTTTGAAATCACTTTGGCTACTCTACAAGAAATTGTACACATAGATCCTAGCAGTGGTAGACAAGCCAATGCTTTGTTAATTAAAAAACATCGAGCACTTTAACTTTGCATTTTACTTGCTCTTACTAAGGAGAGTTCTAACACAATGTAGTTTACTGTCAAAATGCTCTTCAGGGAAGCAGTATGATCTACGAAGTTGTTGATTTTTCTCACCTGTAAGTCAAAAGGCACCATCAGTCATATTTAAGTCGCCCCGGAGCAACACGGCAAATAATAATAGCTGTTCCTTTCCCCGGACAAGCTCAGCTTTTAGGGTTAAAATTCACTCGTAAGGGGGTGAATTTGGGAGAGTATTATTATTAATATATTATTATAATTCGCTGAAAAGTGCGGTTTTAGAGAAGTCGAACTGTCAAGAAAGGACAAAATTTCCTTCAAAATTGGGGGAGGGAGTAAAGTTCCGTGTGAGTCTGTAGAACAATATTACAAAGTTTCAATCCTTTGACCAGTTACTGACATTATAAACCAAGAGAAAACAACCTAGACGTACTCAACCATTTCAGCAAAGTTACACTTTGGACAGCAAATTTTTCTGTCTGAACTGAGATGTTTTTACAATATGGACTGCTTGAACGAGTCAAAAAACAAAAATATTCATGAAAGAGCTGAAATTTTTGTCAAAAAGCCTTTGAAAAGAGTGTGTTCCCTCTACTTTTTGAACTTCATCATTATTAGTCATTATTTTAGTAGTAGCTTTTCAAATGCCTTAGATATTGGTAACAACGATATAGGTCTATATGATAGATAACTTCATTTGGAGGTTTTTCTGGCTTAGGAATTAGGATAACTTCAGCCATTTTCCACGCATCTGGTATAAATTTAAGGTGAAATGTTGCATTTATAAGAGATGTCAATTTAACAATAGTTTTCTTTAGCAGTTTCTTGAATATTTCTTCAGTAATAAGGTAATATCCTGACGCTTTCTGTGGGTTGATGTTTGTCTGAATTTCTTTCGCAACTTAATTGGGAGTAACTAGCCTAATTTCAAGTTGTTTTGATTTGTAGGTGGTAAGCGAACATATCAGCTTTCTGTTATCTCTTGACCATTTATTATCTGTTATTCTGATAGGAGGACAGTGGTTACACACGTGTTTTTTTTGTAAGTTTCTAACTACAGTTCATCAAATTTCTAGAGGCTTTCGACGGCTAGACAGAGAAAGCACTACTGACAGGCATCCCGACGGATTTACGCAATGAAAGTACACTCTGCGCATCAAGTATTTCACTATTTCATTCAGACGTAAATGTCAGATGTAAATTTCGCTAAAACATTTCTTTTATTTTCGTTTGTGTTTTTTGCTCATTACAGTTTAATAGAACCTAAGTATGGAGTTTAATAGCAAATTAAGAGGCCGCGTGATTAACAGTCAATCTCGCGAAATAATAGCCAATGTTATAGAGTTTATGAGAAGAGAAGGAAACTTTAATTCACCTTCAATATCATTTAAAAATGTAAATGATCGTGTTGCTGCAGCCACAGGAGTATCTAAAAACACTGTCGTCCGCATTTCTGGAGAGAAAAAAAGAATCGATAACCGTGAGATATCGGAATTTTCATCACCAAGAAAAACCATTAAAAAACCAAAAACAGTTAATGATATAGATGAAGCTGCACAAGAATCAAATTTTATTTTTTTATTATTAGATAGCTATTTTTGTTTCTGAGTTGTGTTCATTTACAGGCTCAATTTTTTTCCGTTTCTCCTTTTTGATTTTATATGGGGTTTCAAGTTGTTTTTGACTTATTTCGACGTAAATCACAACAACACACTTTTTTAATAAAGCAAACAAGTGTTAAGAGGTATATGTACGTGTAAACTACAATTACAAAAAATTGATATGAAACCCATGAAATCACCAACAAAAATGTAAAGCTAGCTTCCGTACTAGAACATGGTGTCATTCGTCGAGATAATTTATCGTTTTGTTTAATAGATCAAGAAATGTAAATATTCCCCTGTTATTTTTTATAAAATTATAAGAGAAATAAATTTTTTTCTAAATAGTATAGTTTATTATTTTGT